AAGAGGTGAATTGGTTTGAACGAAAATAAAATTTAATTGGCCAACATAAATTACATTTGTATTAAATTAATCGTATATCATTTGGGTTAAACCTTCGGCTGTCGGCAGAGTCGGCGCCCAAGAGCCACCAGGAGATTCTCACGCGTTACTCCTCCCCTGGTCAAGGACGGTCGGTTCCGATCGCGGAAATTCGGAAGCCACAATCCCGCGCCTAGTCGAGGTCGGCGGCAGCCACGGATGGATGGGCTCGGTAGCCTCGGAGGTACTCTCAACCGGAGAAACGGTAACTGGCGGATCCAGCATAATATGGCGGTGGTCACTTCGGTAAAACTAAAACAAAATTAAAGCCCAAGTGGCAAATTTCCTAGCGGATTTTCGGAAAGGAACTTCGGGGAAACGTACGGAAAACCCCCCCCCCCCACTTTCTTAAAAAAAGAAAGGTTACCTTGTAAGAATTGACGAATCAGAAAAAAACCTGGATTAAAATACAAAGCAAAGAAAGAATTCAGCTCCAAAATAAGGGTGCCGAAATCAAACAATGGATCAGTTCTACAAGGGAGGTTAAAGCAAAGCTTATTGGCTAAAACGGCAACTGGAAATTACTCATCTGTTCACAATGCACAAGATGCAAACGGAGAAATTGATTCAAAAGCAAAAGAAAATCACGGAACTGATAAAAAATGGCGGTACTTACAAAACTGACTAGTCAAAACACGAAAAGATAGCCACCAAATCAAGCGTTTGGTGAATTCCAGTTCCTCGCTATATTTACGTAAATTAATTCGGTTTTTAATTAATTACCCGACCTGCAATTATCGGAAAAATGTAAGATGGGCATCGAACTTCCCGTATTTTAAGCGCGCTCATTTTAAAATAACTTTGAACGCCGTATGGCGTTTGGGGATCTAAATTTGTGAATGTTCGTATTTTCGCCATATCTCTGCTTAGAAAACAGATATCAAAATGCTCTTTTCACTGATATTCTCACTTTTTCATCTTATTTGATATTATCATATAATATTTATATCGTTCCATTTGAAATTTTCAAGATAACCTGACAAGTTTATGTTAATGTCACATCGCGCCCTCTACCACTCACCACATTTACTAAAAAGACTATCCATGTAAAATCTGATTCCACGAAGAGAGCTCCTTCCAACAAGAATGTGAAAATCTGTTAACTTAAACCGAAGTTACATTCAATTCCTTAAATAGATTTTCCCCTTCCCACACCCCTCATATTTTATGAGCTAGAGCAATATGTGCTGCAAATTGATACAAGATTGCTATGCATGTATTTTTTATGCGTGTTTGTTGGGTATATTTTAGAAAAAAAATCATTTTTCTACTTAACCATGAATCGTACGCCCTCTAGCGGCGAAGCTAGAAACTTGAAAATAATTTCCAGCGATTTCTCTTGGCGCCTTTTGGCTTTTATTAACAAAATTTTTTCCCGAAGCGGTGCAATTAACGGTTCCATAGATATGGCCTGTGGCCATTATTAATGGAACACCCTGTAACGGGTAACGGTGCGATCATAACTTCGGGGCGAAAAACGGGTGCTTCGTTACAAAGGGCGCTTTGTTTGACAACAAACACATGTCAATCAGACGCCGTTTGCTGCAACTCATTTGATTAGTTCCCGACAATTATGCTTACTTAATTGACTCGGATGTAATTCCAAAATTTGGTAGGCCAATTGTTATTTGGAATTTTCGGATATTGTACTACGGTGCTTCAGAAGAAGAAGGAAGCAAAGAAATGCGAGCAACACAAAACCATCAGTGTTGTAGCTCATGCTGCTAAAATTTTTTGTGGATGATAGTGGAGGGGGTAGTGGGGGAAGATCACTTTGTATTTCGAAGGAGTTTGGGAACCAGTCGTAAAAACAATTGGAGAAAGATATATAGAACGAGGAAGATAAGCCTACTCCTAGTAGATCTGGAAAAGGTATTTGATTGTGTGAAATTTAAAGGAACAAGGGCGGGGAATGGAGAGCAAGAAGATTGATCAGCAAACTGTACATGAAGCAGGCGGTGGCACTAAAGGTGGCTACTAATTCGAAAAAATGTCTTTAATCCTAAAGCGACCACCCGTTACAATATTAGCAGTGACATTTATAAATTGAAATTAAAATTTTAGAAAGTGCAATCAATATTTCGATGTAGACATAAGTATTGTTTGTGCAAATTCTATTTTAAGCACTCTATGGCTTGGTAACACAGTAATAACTGCTAACTCACTAACTTATTACTAAGGGAACATTTAATCGAAATTTTTACGTGAGTTTAAACCTTTGTTTGGCCAGGTGCCGATAAAACAATTGTTATCGGACAAACAATGTCACCTGCGAGATAAGCTATGCAGATGTTTTATCGGTTCTGGCGGCGTATTTTGGAATATAGTTGGGTTTATGATATTGAATTTGTTAAAGGAAGTGGTTTTTGCTCAAATAGGAAGAATATAAACGAGGCTGTCTCGAGTTGTTTTGAACGAGTGCATAAGTGTCTGTGGACGACAATTTTGGTACTGGTAATCCATCCGACTATACAATTTTTAAAAAAAGAAACGTAATCGCCATCGTGTGAGTAAAATAATGTGGAAACAAGCATAATGTTGTGCAAGAAGTTTTTACGCGTAGAATTTCAAGTTTAAAAAGGTTTGTGTTATCAAGAATGAAGAAATAATTAGTATAATACAAGAGAAGTCTTACTATCAAAGCTGCCACAAAGTTAGGTGTTTTCGAGCCAGTTGTGGTGTATTAAGGGCGAGTTTTTTTATTTCTGAGAAAAATCTGCCAGATTCAAGTTTAAGTGTCCGTTTCGCCGAACATCGCATATTTCTTGTCATGACCAGTTTATAGGATTATTATTAACAGAAATGTGAGGAATTTTTGAGATCTCTTAATTTGTTTTTAAATAGACCGTTTGCAAACGGGTTGTGTTGTATTCAAAAGGCGCTGTTAATCATAAATCTTTCAATCTTTCAAATCCAGGTTGACTTTCCTTTTTCTATGGTAGTAATTTCATTGGGATTTAGTCTATAAGAGTTTTAAGTCAATGTTAGGATTGTCTTGTTGTGTCGGCATCCAATGGTGCACTGAGAGAGAATTTAAAAGAAAAAAAAGCTAAATTGTGTAATTTAAGCTAGCTAGGTAAGTGTCGGGTGGTATAGTGACACATTTGGCGCTCAACGTGGGGCTACAGTAATATTTTAATTCAGTAGCCATAATATGACTTGCAAAGTAATTGCAATAATTTCCAATACATTGCAATAATGTGGATTAATTGCATATCACACCGCAAGGAAGGTTATTGCACGTAGGTTTATGGGGATTTTCATTTGTAGATTTCGCTGAAATTTAAAACTGAACACTTCTTAATTATTTAGCTGACCCACGTCAATACTAAGAGCACCGTTTCAAATGGGAACCAGCATTTCGAAT